AGACAATCTATTTTAGCAGAGTGCCTGCGTTGGGAGGTGAAGTTACACTTCACTTGAACTGTGTTAATGGTGCGGTCTGCGGGCTTTACGTTTTGTTCGGCTCTTAAGTGGTGCAGAAACACGGCATACCACCAAATGACGTCACCGGCAGTGGCCTTCAGGTTGTTCATTTTGGGCTTCCACGCATACTGACGATAGCGGGATGTAAAAAAGTACGCGAAACCAGGGTACGTGCACTTTATCAAAAAGACAACTGAGACAACTACGTTTACGAATCAAACATAGCATTTATAGGTGACAGCATATATAAATGTACCCACCCCTGACCTGCCATTTTCACCATCAGACTAATCCGACGCAAACGAAATCCCACAATTTGTTCTTCCAGAAGTCATTTTTGTATCGTGGGCCTGCTGGTTGATTTTTTTCTGTGTAAATATATAACGTATACAGAACACAAGGGCTCTAGTGAAGAACGTTGTGTTGGAATGTTTCTGAAAAACAGGCGTATTACAGTCAGGAATGCTTTTACGAACACTTTGAAATGAACTTTTGGTTAGAAAGGATTACTTATGATAGCTTGTAATGTTGACTATGCTGCAGCTTAATCTCAAGGTCCTTCACTCGCCTCAGAATGCTCGTTTTCAACAAGCTTTTTTGGCCACCTGAATAAAACACAGTTGGTAAACAATGGCTACCTAATTAGTATGAAATGTTCCTATGGATTTGCGCTGTCTCGATAGATTCATATTTATTGCATAAAAACATCCGCAAACGCATTGCTTCTTGTGACAAAAAAATTACGTTTGCTCCGAATAATATTCTTGAATAACGTTAACCACAGTCCACATCAATTGCGAAAGTTTATTAACCCTATATAACCTTTTTGTAATAACGTAGAGGCATGTATGATTGTCCTTGCACGTAAAGAACGTAGCATGGAGTTTTACAATCGTCAGTGCCATTGCAGCCTCCGGTTGGGTTCAGAGCTAATCGAGAATTGATAAACGTTTTTAAAGCCCACTGATACCATTTCTTCAACTGTAAGCTTCGAAGATTAGGATGAATTTCTACAAGAGTTCGAAAGCTCAGGACAACATAACGATTGCTCCGATGCTTGAGAAGCCTTCTACCTTAGCCATATTGCTGAATGACAGGACTTTGGTCTTCTTTCGAAAAACAAAATAGCTTTTCCTAATTGTTAAGGACAGGTAAATACAGTGTTCATTTTATGCGAAACCTCCTTATGTTGGCAAGTTTGAATAACATAGATCAATTAAGGCTGCACAAAGCATTTATCCTGGTTGAAGTAAGTTGGAGTTCCTTTATCGAAATTCTTCCTTTAGGAACTGTTGTCGGTAACTAACTTCGCGCGGATTTGAGCTTTTACACAAATTTATTCCTCCACAAAGGCAGTTGACTTATCAAAAAATTCTCAAAAATTGTTGCTTGCTACCCATATATACCTTAAAAAACAGCCCTTGTCTATTTTTTTATGTTGCTTGATTGAATATACGCGTTGAGCAATTTATGTGACTTGATGCATTTTCATGCGAATTCGACCACTTGTTCCATGTTTGTTATAATATCCCGTGCAACTCAAAACGCTGCATTTTACGATTTTTAAAACCGTCCTCTAAGTTAGTGCACGTCGGTTGTCTGGTGCTTTTAAAATGAAAATGGTCCATTCTTTTAATCGTTAAATGTGAGGTAGGCGTAACTCTTCGTGAAACCGACTCTAGCTTGCAATGACTTCCTCAGTTGTTTCCGAGATAAACATATACGTCATATAATGATTCAAAATCGATGTTATAAGTCCATACTACATAAGCGAGCGGTAGAACTCTCTCGAGTTTTTTTTTTGCAAGCTAAAGCCCGTGATCTATGAATGTTCGATTCTATCCCCACAGCACTGTGAACGTACAACCACATTCGCGTCTAGCGACTGGCTAGAATTAGCATCAGTACGCCCCTCTCGAGTCGCACTATTTGGCTGCACTACTTCACTAGCCCTTTTGCATCATGCACATGATCTCCTGGTGGATGTGTCTGTTGATTCCTGGCTCATAGGAGTGCGTTGTCTGGATAAATTCGCCACGTTTCCTGCCTAGGCAACCACCACCACCACCACTAACACAAGCTTTTTTTCGTCGACCAACCTACTACCCACTATGTCCCCTGTGTGCCTGTTCTCCTCTGCAAATTAGACTATTTCTTTTCACAACAAAGCCACTTTATTGTGTGTGTTAGGAATAGTCACCAGGGGAGTCTCACGTGCCTTAGTTACCCACCGTGTTTCTGGTTTCATACTGCCAAAATAATAATATCAGCTGCGTTTTTTTGTCTTATCCTGGGGCTCAACCTGTCGACAAAATATGACGGCTACGAGGATCTTTTTGGCTACACGCTCCAGATGATATATCAACTGTTTTGATGAGAACAACAAACTAACACACTTTCATAGAGCTCTATTTCCCCCTACCTCTGCCTCCACCATGCAAATCAGAAGTTTTCCACATTATACTGCCCGCTGCCTGCAGTCTCCTTCTTAGCTGATTCTTCATCAGGAATTAAGTCCGTTCGTACCGAATGATTTGGGCAGTCGGAAGTCGGATGTGTCGCACCAAGGTGTGTGTGTGCACGGAGTGGCAACCTCTTGTGTACTTTGAACAACACGCACGCTTGGCGATCTCGGTTAGAGGGCAACAGACGTGTTTGTGCCAAGCAGTTGTTGTTGTTGTCGCCCGGTCGAGATCGCTTGACCCCATGCACAAAAAAGTAGGCGTGCTACTGCCGCCGCCGCAATCCGGTTGAGGTCGTGTCTCTCTGTGTGGGTGTGCGCGTGTACACGTCAACGTCTGTTTCTCACGTGCTGACCTCAGCTTGTTTTTCCCGCCTCGGTTCGCCCACTCCTCTTTGACTTTCGCAGTTAATCTGCTATGGCTCCTTCATAACACGCATGCATACGAG